TTTGACTGACTGAGTCCCTCTGTGGGAGCAGGGGCAGTCAGTTCTCTAGTGCTAGGGGTCACAACTGGTGCTTTCACATTGAGAGCAGGGGCCTGGTGGGGCTTAGTGCATTCCTGTGCCCAGTGCCCACTTTTCTTGCATTTGAAGCAAAAGCCTTTGCTGGCATTATCCTTATGGCCCTTTGGGTTTCCCTTGGACAACCTTTAGGCATTTAGGGCATCACCAATGATGGCTGTCATAATTTTGGTTTGCCATTTTTCTTTGCTCTGTTGGCTTTCTCCTTCCTCCAGGTCTCCTTCTTCTTGATACAAAGGTGGTATCAAGAAGCTGATTTTGGCTAGTTTGTGGCCCCATGTGTAGCTTTTGGAGCTTACGTCTAATGTCTAGCATGGATTGGCTAATGAAATGTTGTGCCATTAATATCTTGACTTCAGGAGAGGAAGGGTCCGGATTAGTATAGCCCCTAGTCTGGGGGATAACAAACACCCATGGGAGGATGAAATCTGTGACCCCTCCTCCCTCACCACCACCATATCTAATCAGCCATGAGGGCCCCCTGCTTTCCCGAATCCCCATTGCCATCACATTCACCATTGTCCTTTGCTGGGACTGTTGCAGCAGCTCCTCATTTATCTCCCACTTTCCACCCTTACCCTTCTCTGCCTCCAGCGTCTTTCCTAAACAGCAGCCAGTGCGATATTTAAAAAATACAAATCTAAATATGTGACTCTTCTGGTTAAAAACCTTCAAGGCTTCCCATTGCTCTTCAAATTGTGCCAAACATCTTTAAGCAGAGCTTTAAGGCACTTCCTGGTCTGTCCCCTGCCTGCCTCCCAAGCCTCATCTTGCTCCATTTCTCCTTTTTTTTTTTACCCTACGATCATGTTAACAGATTTTTCTCTTCCACAAAAGTGCCAAGCTATTCCCTGGATCTGGAATGTTTTTGCTACTGCCACTCTCCTGGATAACAACTTTTGTCTTTCAGATCTTATCTTACATGGATGTGACTGCCTTGTAGAGACTTTCTCAATTCTCCAAACTTGGTTAGAGATCCCTCTATTAAACCATTGTAGAAACCTGTGTCTTTCCTTCATAATCTCATTTAATTCACTTATTTCTGTAGTTGTCCATTTGATGTTTCAGGGCCATGCCTGGCCTGTTCACTGCCACATCCCCAGAAGGCAGCCCTGCATCTGACAGCTAGAAGGTGTTCAGCAAGTCTTTGGAAAAGGAATGAATGGGTCAGGACTTGCTGTAAGAAGGACCTGGCTTCCAGCCATGGTTCTGCCACTTGCTAAGCTGTGTAATCTTAGGAAGGTTATTTAACTTCTCTGGACCTCAATTTCTTCATCTGTAAAACAGGAATGATGACAACTGCTTTTCTTCCAGGGCTGTTAAGAGACCCAAAGGATAAATAGAGCTTAAAGCAATTTGGAATCTGTAGACCATTATGCAGATGCCATATATTATTACTTCTTTGCAGTTGGGTTGGTTACTAGAGGGCTCACCAGCCCAACATCCAGATCTCATGCCTCCTAGACTTCTTGGTTTACAGAGACATTCTGAATAGCCAGGAGCCGGCTGGTGCTGACAACTTGGTGGATTTTGGCCAATGGCGGAGGGAGCTGAATGAAGGGACGTGGGCCGGGAGGCACGGTTCTTCCTGCCAAAGTAGAACCTTTGCCTGATATCCGCCTGAGAGCCCTACATCCACGAAAAAATGAGGAGAATCACATCAGGAAGTCTTACACTTGAGTTTTGTGTCCAATCAGGTACAGCTTCAAAACTGCTTCTGCCCTTGGGACCAGGCATTTTCTAAACAACCCCTCTTCCATCCACTTCTTTTCTCACTGCTGCCAGTGGCTGAGGTATTCTTAATGACAACCCATGGAGTCCATGACAATCAGCTGAGGAGTGATTCTCATTAGATTTCAGTGAAGGAAAAGGCTCAGCCCATGACTGAAGGATGGAAAATAAGAAGAAATATATTTAATCTGGCCTCTAAGAGTTCATCTTGACAAGTAGATTGGAGTCATGACAGCTCAGACCTGAAATGCTAGTTGTTATGTAAAGGAGAGAGGTAGGAAGAGTGGGATTGGAATAACAGACAACACAGCCATTTATTTGCTACTTAGCAAATTACCAAAAATTAACAGCTTAAAACTTAAAACAGCTCCCATGCTGGGCATGGTGGCTCATGCCTGTAATCCCAGCACTTTGGGAGGCCGAGGCGAGTGGATCACCTGAGATCAGGAGTTCAAGACCAGCCTGGCTAACCTGGTGAAACTGTTTCTACTAAAAATACAAAAAATTAGCCAGGTGTGGTGACGGGTGCCTGTAATCCCAGCTTCTTGGGTGGGTGAGGCAGAATAATTGCTTGAACTTGGGAGGCAGAGGTTGTAGTGAGCCCAGATCACGCCATTGCAGTCCAGCTTGGGCAACAAGAGTGAAACTCTGTCAAAAAATTAAAAAATAAAACAGCTCCCATAGACCATGAGTCCAGGTTCAGTGTCTCACAGACTACAATCAGGATCAGGGAGGGTCTAGAGTGGCATCTGAGGCTTGTGGAGGGGTCCTTCTTCCAAGCACACGTGGTTGTTGGCAGAATTGATTTTCTTGCATCTTGTCTCTTCAAGGCTAACAGGAAAGAGTGAGTCTCTGACTCCAGATTGAATTCTTTTTTTTTTTTTTTTTTTTTGGAGAGGGGTTTTTCTTTTTTTCCCCGGGCGGGGGGAAGGTGGGGCATTTTGGCTTACTGCAACCTCCGTCTCCCTGGTTCAAGCAATTCTCCTGCCTCAGCCTCCCAAGTAGCTGGGACTACAGGTGCACACCACCATGCCCAGCTAATTTTTGTATTTTTAGTAGAGATGGGGTTTCACCATGTTGACCAGGATGATCTCGATCTCTTGACCCTCGTGATCCACCTGCCTTGGCCTCCCAAAGTGCTGGGATTATAGGCGTGAGCCACCGCGCCCGGCCCAGACTTAATTCTTTCTTACTTCTGACACTCTCCAAGAACTCATTTCATCAATGCAGGCCCACCCAGGATTATCTCCCTTTTTATTAACTTCAAGTCAACTGCAGGATTTCTTCACCTTTACTCTACTTTTCAGAAGCAAGTTCTATATCCCTTCCACAACTGAAGGGGAGAGGGTGATGCAAAGATGTGGATACCAGGGATAGAAATCATAGAGGCCATTTAAAAATTCTACCCACTACATCCTCCATTTGCTGACCTCCATGTGTGTATTGTAGGACTTTCTCCTTAGTTCAGCTAAAGTTGGGGTCCTTCCTGTCACATAACCATGAAATATTAGGTTTGCAGACACTTTGAAGGGTGAGAAAAATGGTATTTATTGGGTGAAAAGGGAAAAAAAGGAGACACAGAGACTCTCCGCAAATCCAGTCCTGCTGGTGCGTTTCCTGACTGGGGATTGAACCCCAGGTTCCACCCAGGAAGAGGGCAGCAGGCTCCTCTCCACTGCAAACCACTCGAACCTCCCAAGGCTCCACCCCAACATGCGTTCCTCCCAGTGTGCAGGTCAGCCAGAGGTTCTACCAGGGAGCTTTGCCTACCTGTCTGTCTCATGTGGGGTGTGTGAGTATGTGTGTGTGTGTGTGTGTAACAGAAATCAACTTGCTCCAACTCACCTTAGCAAACTCAGGAGTATTCGTTTTAAGGAAACGACGTCTTGCAGTCCCAGGATACGAATGCAGCCAGACCTGCAGAAGGACAGGAGTTGGCAGGAGGAAAGCCATAGGGAAACCTGCATCTCTATGGCTTCATCATTGTCTGTCTCTGTGAACCAACTTCATCTGCTCTCCAATTTGTGCTTTATAGTTCCAGCCATGGTTCCAACAACCAGGCCATCTCATCCCATTGTCTCTGGTAGAGCCAGTCTCTCTATCTCCCTTTCTCTCCTCCCTCTCCAGTTCTAAATTCTTAGAGAAGGAATCTTGGACGGGCTGCTTTTCTCTAGTGTAGTTGCCTGTGGCCAGAGTGGCAGGATGCATGCTACAAGCATTGCTGTCGGGAAACCACCCATGGTGATCGTGTAGAGAAGGGAGAATGGGGTCAGTTCCCAGAGAAAGAGGCTGAGGTCTCAAGAGATGTGTACTGCGTGATGTCAGGCCTTGTCACTAGTGGCCAGTACGTGCATACGCCACATCATCTGGTATACAGCTGAGCAACAAGGCCTTTTGATTAACAGTGGAGGGGGCAGAATGAGACATGTTTACCTGTCATGTGCTGCATAAACCAGGGACTTATTACCAGCCGAAAGTGATGCTTCCTGTCAAAATCAGTTTACAACTATGTTCCCATCACCCCGGCACTTAGAAGAAGGCTGATCCCACAGAAAGAATTCAGCAGCTGCAGAGAATGAGGATATAGTGACACAGGGCCCAATTTAGAGACACAGTCCCGCAGCGTCTCACAAACCTTTTTTAGAAATGGCTAAGAAAGAGCTGCTTTGAGCAAGTAGTAAAAGTAAAGAAGAACTGGGTAATCAAAAGCCCGGAAGGAGGAAGGGAATGTTCCAGCACAGACTGTAATGCTCATATTCTGATAAGAAGAAAGTGAGACACACAAAAGTCCCCAGACAGAGTGAGTTATTGAACCTCAGATATGCTGCTTGAGAGCTCTTACCAGTTCTTACTTATGAGGAACTGGCTTCCAGATCCCTTGTGTGTCTTATAGTTGCTTTATACAAGTATGTACAGGGAGGTGTAAACTGGGTGTGATTCTCACCCCAGGATGTGGGTGTTTACCAACCAGTCCTTCTGTGGTCTTCACATAATTCAAAGCCAAAGGATCATTTCCAATGTTGACATATTTGTGTAATCCTCAAGGAAAAAGAAAAGGCCAACCTAAGGCAAGGCGTTATTTGCTCACATCACTTAAGGAATTTTTTCAAAATTCTAGAGATTAATGGGTAAGCCTATAAAATTCAAAAGGAGCTGCTATATTAAAGTGGGGTTGTCATCACTTCTCCTTGCAGCTATTGTCTCCCTGTCCCCGGCTCCAAGTGCATTGAATCATGAGAGGAAATTGTCACTGTTCAGCATTGGCTCTTCTGACTTGATATTGTGCTGCATGATGAATTGATGCTGTTGGGAAGACAGGTATGTAGAGCATTTTAAGCCACTAAGGTATGTGAACTAAATCTACAACTCACCTCTTAGGAACAACTACCTGAGGATAAGGCTCTTTCAGAAAATATAAGCATTGGTGACAAATTCACTCAACAGATTGCTGCACCTTGTTTTAGAAAATGCTTCTAGTGGTAGCAAAACAATCCACATGAGGATTTATGAAGATGCACCTGATCCTTGATTTGGGAAGAGGCGAGAGAGCCAATGTCCGTCTACCATGGTTCACCCATGCAAACTTTCTTGTTCTCCTACTGTATCACCCAGGCACTGACCAAAGTCCTGGGCACACTTCATTAAACATGGTACCTGCTCTTGAAGAATTCTCAGTCTAACAGGAGAGAAGTGTGTGCAAACCGATGGTTAAAATGCATCACAGTGGTTAAAATGCATCACAGCATTAGGTGCTGTAGAGAGGAATGGGCAAAGCGTTGTTAGATCACAGAAGGAGTGACTAGCTATGCAGCTTCTTCCAGACTCAGCTTGGGAATCATCCCAGTTCCACTGCTGTACTCACCTGCTCTCTGCTTACTTTCCACATGACACTGGTAGTTTCTGCTCCTGTGTCTCTCTCCCGAGCAGCAAGCCTTCAAGAAAGGGTTGCTCAGCTTTGGTGTTATTGACATTTTGGGCCAAGTGTTTGATGATAGGGAGGGGAAGCCGTCCTGTGCATTGTAGAAGGTTTAACATCATCCCTGACCTCTACCCGGGATCCTTGCCCTCTGTGTGCCAGTAGTATCCACACCACACACATACACACGGACACAGACATGTACAACACACACACACACACACACACCACACTTTTTATGGTAATCAAAAATATCTACAGACTTTGCCAAATCTCCCCTAGGCAGCAAAATCATCCCGTTGAGAATCCCTGCTTTAAGCTGTTCCAGGACAGCAATGACATTTTCTTCATCTCTGCATCCCTGGTGCCCAGGACATTTCTGTCACTATGAAGCAGACAGAACATGGCTTGGAGGCATGAGGGAAGCCTTAAATAAGAGACTTATCTGATTGGAAGGATAAAAAGAAATCATCTAGGTCAGTACTCTCCTATAGAACTTTCTGTGATGATGGAAGTGTTCTATGGCTGTACTTTCCAATACAGTGGCCACTATGTGTGGCCTTTGAATACTTGAAATATATGACTTATATGACTGAGGAGCTAAACTTATTTCATTATAATTACTTTAAATGTACATTTCAAAGGCTCCATGTGAGTTGAGGCTCCATCTTAGATAGCACAGCTCAAGCACTGTGTGGCCTGGCCCAGTGTAAGCACTACTCATCAAATGCAAGTTTGGTTTTCAGTAGATTCCCGGATGATTAAATATATATTTATACTTCCAGTCTTTCTGACCATTATCCGAGCCTAAAGCTATTTATTTTGGAATAAATTTCCATGCTTCATTCTAAAGAGATAATAAAAGAAGCTGATCCTACCCACTGTAAAGCAACCAGGGATGCCATTATTGAGGGGCTTGAAGACAGATGCTGATGAAATTCTTAGAATCACGCCATTTATTTAAAAGTAGCCCATTTGGCTATCTATGCTTCCATGCATTTATCTAAATAATGTGTATTGAGGGCCTACCAGGTGCTATTGTTCAATGGGATCACAAAAAAATATGCAAAACAGCCAGAGAGAAAAATGTAGAAAAAACTGCTGCATTGTTAGAAGAATAGGAATGGAATTGTGTGTGTGGTACAGGCAGGATACAGAGAAGGGAGATTCTAAGTGCCTGAAATGGCTTGACAGCAGAGCTGACACTGAGCTGAGCTTGAAGTGAAAATTAGCTGAGAGTCAGTTTCCTAAACGTATCTGAACATCCACCACATGCACACCCCAGAATCACCTGGAGGCTTGTTAAAAAATAAATTTTCAAGCTTCTTCCCTGGAAATTCTTAGTATAGAAACTTTGCAGTTTTAGCAAGCATCCCAGGCAAATATAGGAAATGGGTATTAGGAGAACGGGGCCAATAATTCCCCTGTGCTGATAGGAACAGTGCCAAAGTCCTGATAATGTTTCTGATAGCTAAAATGTATCAGTATATTACATTTGCCATATAAATATAAAGTCAGGAATTTGAAAAATAAAAGAACGAAAGAGAAACAAAAACTACCCGTACTTTTCACCATTTAGACCTAATCATTGATATTTTCCATAAATATTCTGCTTGTCTTTTTGTGTACACTCTCGTGCACTCATACAAAATTGGAAGAATGCTATACCTATTTCATTTTTCACATACACTTTTTTATCTTACAATAGTTTAGAGTTAAAGAAAAGTTGCAAAGATAGGACAGTTTTCCTATTATTAATGTCTTACATTAGTACGAGCCTTTGTAACAGTTAATGTGCCAATATTTATATGTTTTTGTTATCAAAAATTCATGCTTCATTCAGATTTCCTTAACTATTATCCATTATTCTTATTCTATTCCAAGATTGGATCTAAGATATCATATTGTGTTTCATTATCATGTCTCCTTAGATCTATCTTGGTTGTGACAGTTTTTCATTCTTTTCTTGTTTTTCTTGACCTTGACAGTTTTGGGGAATATTGGTCAGGTATTTTGTAGACTTTCCTTAAACTGATATTTTTCTCATGGTTAGATTGGAGTTGTCTGTTTTTGCTTGAATGATAATTTTAAGTTTGGTTTTAAATTACAGAAAAAACAAAAGAATAATAAGACAAAGATGCACATATCATCAGTCCAGAATTGACAGTTATCATTTTTGTATTTGATTTATTAAAAAAAAAACTAATAGAATAGAGATCAAATTCCCTTTATTGAGTGTCCTTACCTATAATTTCACAACCCTCCCTGCCTCATAGATGCAACCATTGTCATGAATTTAGTGTGCAATCTTCAATTTCCACTTTTTCCTTTTATATGTATGTACAGCATACCTATAAAACCAGGAAAATATGTGGTATTTACATGTATTTTAATTTTGGTCCATGAATGACATTGTAATGACATCAGACCAACTGGTTCAACTTTTATGTGACAAAGTTGTGAGTTGTTTTCAGTTGCCATGGACCCCCAGGTTAAAGGGCACATAATCTGAGCATGCCCAGATGAACCAAATGTGCAACCACAAGGGGAAACTAAGCGCTGGCATGGAGGTTCAGGACTGAATTAAGCAGCAGCAGACACCACATGGCAGCATCCAGCCAGAGCATGCATCCTGGCCTTGCCTCACTGCCAGATCCAATCAGATCACGCCTCATTACCCATTTTAAAATCTGGCCCACCCCCAGATCAAGGAGGCAGATTTGAGCATTTCCTCCTCTCCTGTGGCCAGTGGACTTGCAATAAACCTTTCTCAGAGTAAAAACCCAGTGCTTTGGTGTTGGCTATCCACTGCATTTGGGCCTATGGACCTCGTTTGTTTCAGTGACAGCATCATGTACCCGTCATTCTTTAACCTGATTTTTTTTCACTTAACATTGTATTTGATAGCTATTCATGTAGATCTATGTAGTCCAAGCGGATCATTTCTTTTCATTGCTATATGCTATTCTGTAGTATGCCTACAGTATAGTTTATCCATTTCCTTCTTATAGACAGGTGCAAGAGATTCTCTAAAGTATAAACTTAAGGTAGCATTGCTGGCTTATAGGATATGGGCTTCCAGATATGACTGAAGCGGTTCATGCTCCTAGCAGCACTGTTTAAGCAATTGTTTCTCTGCGTTCTCAACAACAATTATTATTGACAGATAGTTTAATTTTTTCCAAACTTTTAAGAGTGAAATTAAATCTCACTGGTATTTTATTTTTAATTTTCCTTAGTACTACTGGTGAACTTGAGTATCATCTTAGATACGTTAGTGAATTGCTTGTTCATTTTTGGGGGCCCTTTTTTCTACTGGATGTTTTTGTCTGTTTCTCTTACTAATATAAGTGGTTTTTTGTTTTTGTTTTTGCATATTTGGGTTAACCATCATTTTCCTGTTGTGTATGTTACACATATACTGTTTTACCCTAAGGTTTGTCTTTTAGCATTACTATTGTCCCAATTGTCATTCAGAAGTTTGCCTTTAACAAAGTCATCAGTCTTTTCTGTATAATTGGTACTTTTTTCTATATTGCTTAAGAAATTTTCCCCTAAGATAAAAGGAATTCCCTAAGATATAGGGAATATCTTAAAGATATTCCTTATATTTTCTTCTAGTTGTTGCAATTTTTTCTTTTTCATGTTTAAGTCTTTTAGCTACATGAAGTCTCTTTTTGTTTTTTATGTGAACTAGGGATCTAATTTTCTTCCTACATGAAGCCTAGCTATCCCAGCATCTTTTATTAAATAGTTCATCCTTTCAAGTGTAATGCCAGTTCTACTAAATGTCATGTCCATATATGCAGTGATTTGTTTTTGGTATGTCTAATCTGTTCATCTGACCTTTTATCTGTGATTCAGCCCAAACCACAGTTTTCTTAGTTAGCTTTATAGTAAATTCTGATACCTGGTAGAATAAGTAACCCTTTCTTGTTATTCTTTTTCAGAGATGTATCAGATATTTTTGGACCTTTGTTCTGCCACAGAAATTTTAACATGTTTATAAAGTTTTATGGGAAACCATGTTAGGATTTATTTTGGAATTGCATTGAAATTATAGATGCATTCGAGGGAGGATTACCACCTTTACCATATTGAATCTTCCTATTCATGAGCACAGTTTACCTGTCCATTTATTAAGAACTTCTCATATGTTCTTCAATAAAGTTTTAAAATTTTCTCAGCAAAAAAAATTTACGAATGTTTTATTTATGATTAGGCTTGAAATTATTTTTATTACTAAATAAGATTTTTTTCAACTTTTGTGTAAATACTTGCTTGTTAGGAATGCTATTGATTTTTGAAGGCAGTTTTATATGATTTAAGTGTTGAAAATTTTTATTCGTTCTGAATGATTTCTTAGAATTTACAGACACCATACCATGAAGACATAGTGATAATTTTGTCTCTTTTTTTTTACTGCGCTATCCCCATTGCTTTATTGATTAGAACCTCTGGCATAGTATTGATAATAGCTGTGATAAAGGATATCTTTGGCTTGTTCCTGACTTTCTGGGAAAATCATCTAAAACTAAGTTGATGACATATGATAAAATTTATTATATGATATAGGTTTTTGTTAGATGTCTTTTTTCATGCCAAAGATAATTGAGTTGCCTATTATTTATAGCATGTTAGAAATTTTCTTTGTACATCACAAATAAGTACTAAACTTTTCTGAATTCTTGGTCTGTACCTGTTATAGTAGTTATATGGATTGGCTCTTAATTTGCTATGTGGTAAATTACACTGATACACTTTCTAAAGTTAAACTTGTGCGTTCCTGGAATAAACCATTTTAGTCTTATTTTTAAAACCTGTTTTTCTATGCTGCTAAACTGGATTTCCTAATATTTTACTTAGATTTTTTTACATTGTTGTTTACAAGTGACTTGGCATGTAGTTTTCTTTTTTATACTTTCTTTACTGATTTTGGAATTAAATTATATTGTCTCATAAAATAAGTTGAATGGCTTCGGCTTTGTCTATTATCTGGAACAGCTTGTATAAGATGGGAATTATCTGTTCTTTGACGATAGTAAAACAGCTGCACATCTGTCTGGCTCTGTTTTCTCTTGAGGAAAGTTGTTGTGGACTACTGATGTAATCTCTTGTTATTTTGTTATTACCATATTTGCAATAGGATACACCTATACCATGTCAGGCTTCCTTCTAATTAAGCATTTCTACAATTACTACTTATCTAATCAGTTCAACAGTCTTATAAGCTAGGTAAAATTATTATTACTATTTTACACCTGAAGAAACTGAAGCAAAGAGGGATTAGGTAGCTTTCTCAAGTTAACTGTAAGTAACAGAGCCAAAACTGAACCCAGGCAGTAAGAGTTCTGGTTGTAGAATCTATGCTATTAACTACCACACTATAGTAAGCTTTTCATTTTTTCTTGGGCAAACTTTGTGAATTTACCTATTCCGAGAAAATTATGCCGTCATTTAGCATTGTTTAAATTTGGCATTTTAAGGGTGTCATGGTATTCACATGATATTTTGAAGTCTTTACTACACCTTTTTTTTAATTCCTAACATTGTTTTATTTGTGCCTTCTTTTTTTCAATTTATGAATCTTTATGAATCCGGGATTTGCTATAAAATAATAAAGTAAGAAAAGTACTGGGAGTATACATGAAGCAAGATTGGTCAAGAGTAGGCTATTAGTTAACTTTTGGGGGAGTCAAAATTTGTATGGGAACTTTCAATTGGGTGAGAGGTTGGAGCCCCAAACCCCACATTTTTCAAGGATCAACTGTATATTTTTCTAATAAATATAGTGGTGTTTCAGCCAAGCATAAGCAGGTGGGCTTCAGCCAATCACAGCTAACCATGAATCAGCTCATGCCAGATAAGGCAAAAGCCTAGCTGATCAGGTGATTTTTCAGCTTTGCTTCCATATTTGGCCTATGAAAGCTGGCTGCTCACACTGCTGGGTGGAGCTCTGAATCTCTTCTGGTTCTGAGTGCTGCCAGATACATTCTTTGTTCAAATAAACTTTGTTAAATATAATATGTCTAAAGTTCTTTCAACAATCCTTTATCCTCTTTTTTTCCTCCCACTGAATTCAGTTATAGATGGTGTCTTTATTCTTTTAGAAAATAATCACATACATATTTGACTTTACTATATTCTAATTAAATGTAAAGTTAGAATCTCTAATCTCCTTTCTAACAACATAAAGACTTGACCTCACTTTAGCTCCCCTCCAAATGCTATCATCTTGCTTGTGTTATGTGCTTGTATTGCGCATGCTGATTTCTAAATTTTAGTAACATGAAAAAGTATTTTTAAACAGCCAATACAATTGATATTTGCAACATATTTAATGGTTTCTTTGCTCATCCATCCTGTATTCAATGTATTTATTTTTTATCCTGCTGAAGTACATTATATAGTAGTTCTTTCAGCAAGGGCTGAGGGCAGTAAACTCTTAATATATTTGAATTTTTAAATTTATCACTCATTCTTGAAAAATTATTTAGCTTCGCATAAAGTTCTAGCTTCATTATTCTTTCCTCTCAGGACTTTAAAGATATTGTTCCATTTTTTCTTATCTTTTCTTATCATGTATCTAGAAAGTAACTAATTTGCCTTTGATTTTACCACCTCATAGGTGGAAGGGGCTTGCCTTGTCTGAGATGAGACTTTGGACTGTGGACTTTTGAGTTAATGCTGAAATGAGTTGAGTCTTTGGGAGACTGTTGGGAATGCATGATTAGTTCTGAAATATGAAGATGTTAAATTTGGGAGGGGCCAGGGTAGAATGATATGGTTTGGCTGTGTTCCTACCCAAATCTTATCTTGAATTTCCACATGTTGTGGAAAGGACCTGGTAGGAGGTAATTGAATCATGAGAGCAAGTCTTTCCCATGCTCTTCTTGTGACAGTGAAAAAGTCTCGAGATCTGATGGTTTTAAAAAGAGGAGTTCCCCTGCACAAGCTCTCTCTTTACCTGCTGCTGTCCATGTAAGATGTGACTTGCTCCTCCTTGCCTTCCACCATGATTGTGAGGCTTCCCTAGCCACGTGGAACTGTAAGTCCAATTAAACCTCTTTCTTGGTAAATTGCCCAGTCTCAGGTATGGCTTTATCAGCAGTATGAAAATGGAAAAATACACCCAGTATTTAAAAAGTTATGACATTTCTAGGTAAATTTTTTTTAAATATTATGCTGTGGTTGATAAAGCTCTTAAGATGAAAAATAGACTTATTTTTATTAAAAGGTAAAGAGTGACGTAATGGGAAGGAAAGTTGTATCAGTTTGGGTCCCTCAAGGAGCATGCACCAAGACAGAATTAAACATTCAGAAGATTTACTGGGATAAACACCTGTGAATGATACTGGTAAGAGGAACTAGGAGTGACTAGGGAGGGCCTTAAGACCTCAATGCTAATCCAACATGCATGAAGGGAGAGTGGGAAGGAAAGAGGATCAATTGAAAGAGCTCAAAACTTCAGTGCAGCTCTGAGAAAGACTTGGTCAAGACAAAGTGGATTCCCTTACTGTATTAGTGTATTCTCACACTGCTATAAAGAACTACCTGAGACTGAGCGATTTATGAAGAAAAGACGCTTAATTGACTTACAGTTCCACAGGCTGTGCAGAAGGCATGACTGGTGATGCCTCAGAGAACTTACAATCATGGCAGAAGGGCCAAAAAGGGAGTAAGCACATCTTCACATGGCAGCGGGAGGCGGGAGAGAGGAAGAGAGAGAGAGAGAAGGAAGTGCTACACATTTTCAAACAACCAGGTCTCCTAAGAACCTGCTCACTGTCACGAAACAGTGAGGGGGAAATCCGCCTCATGAGTCAATCACCTCTCACTAGGCCACTTCTCCAACACGTGGGGATTACAGTTCAACATAAGCTTTGGGTGGAGACACAGAGCTAAACAGAGCATATCACCTATCAGAGACTGCCTAATATTGGAGTGCCATGTTGGGCAGAAACAACCCGGATCTGTTACCTCTGCTATGCTCAGTAACCAGCTAGGAGCAGCCTGGGGAGGGTATTGCCTCAACATCACCACTGTGGTGGATCCTGAAGCTGTGGCATTTAGAGGCTGTCAGCCAACTATGCTCCATGTAGAAGGTTCTTTTAAAGGACAATCTGATGGGGCACTCCATGGTGGCCACAGAAATTTATTTAAAATATACTTTTTTCCAGAGTCCCTCCCTCAGCCCTCAAAATAAAAGAAAAACTACAAAATCTTTTCTATAAAACAGCAACTGATAGATTATTTCTAGAGACATTATTATGTTTATTTCTAGAGACAATATTAGGCTTTCCCTTAAGTAGAATTGTAGAATTCAGAATCTGGTACAGTGCCTGGCACATAGTAGGCACCCATGACTATTTGTTAACTAAATTGTGCCATTTGATTTGTTTCCTCTCCTCACGTCTAATAAATATGATACTCTTTATTAAAGCCAGGTACTTTAGGTTTGGCATTTTTAATCCTTACAATAACTCTATACTACAGACATCATTAGACATTTTTACAAGTAGATACACTGAGGCTCAGAGGGGTTAAGTAACTTGCCCAAGGTCACACAACTATAAGTGGTGGTTCTAGGATTCAAATCCAGTGCTGCTCTGAAGCATGGCATAGGCTCTCTTTCCTCTTTGTCCTTGGTAGTCTGAATAAGGCAAACTAATTAATGCATGTGAGAGGTGGCAATCACATAACATGAAGCTGAAATAAATCTCATATATTATCTAAACCAGTATTCCTCAGCCTTGGCTGAGCATCAGAACAATTTGGAGAACTTTTAAAATATTCGGATGATCAGGCCGCATCCCAGACTAACTAAATCACTATTTTGAGAGGTGGATCCAGGCATCTCTATTTTTTTTTCCTAAAGCTTTTTAACATAGGAACTTCTAATCTTCTCAAGGTTAGGCATCGCTGGTCCTGTCCAAGCCCTTCTCATATTACAGATTGGGTAACTGAGTCCCAGAAAGTCAAGTTATCATATCTGACAACCAAAAGTGCTGGAACCAGAGGTCATACGAAGATTTCTTAGCCCCATGTTGCCCTCTAGGAGTTTACCTGAAATTGTTGTTGCAGCCTATGACGCTGCCATGGTGAAGGACTCTAGTCATATGGCAGTCCTTGTGTGCCCTCTGGTGGGTTAAATGGGTAAGGAGTCATTACCTGGGGCAGTACTTAAAAAGGTGGGTGGATGCTTTACAGGAGGTCAGATTGCCTAATCAAAATGTTTCATGTGGATTTATACAAGCTGGCTGGTTAGGTAGCGGGGCTTTACATCACTTTTGGACTTTGAAGGAAGAAAACAAGATAAACACAAAAACAAAACCCACCATGCTGAATTGGTTAAGTGCCTTGTCTTCAAAGACATGCTGTATAATGCCATCTTTAAATCACATAAGGCACTCCCTCACATTAGAGCTCTGGGAGAAATTTTTTAAATCTCAGAATATCTTTTATTAAAGGTGTAGACTCTTGGTTCATCTCACAGGTTTTGCAAACAAACCTGAGGACAAATTCTAGCTCCACAGTTAATCTCATAAACTTCAGTGAATCAGGCAGTTATCATTAATCCCCAGCTTTACCATCTGAAACGGCATTACAACCTACTTCATACAGTTGTTGTGGAGATTAAACGTGTATATGCAGGGTGTGGCACTGGCCCTGGACCTTAAGTCCCCTCCACCCTGATGCCTCACAAAACGGTTATCCTATTATTGGAATGACCCATGTTGGGTACATTTCTACTATGGCTGGACAAAACTCTCAAATAGGAAAGTAATAGTTTCAGTGCAATGTGATATAACCTGTGCATTGGCATTCCTCCTGTGACCTGCTTCCCTTGTCCTCAGAGAGCACCTGCCACCCTCCCGCTACCCTTTGTTGCAGACTTCCACAGACCTTCCTGTGGCAAGCAGAATTTGGAACTCTGACCTTTCCTTCATCAAAATATCCTTTG